ACCGAACCTCTATAAAATCATTGTGCAAGTTCTTCTTCTCAACTCTCTCTTTAATTTTTGTTTGGTGGTTGCAAAGAGGTGAAAATTCTCCAACTCCAATTCACCCCCCCTCTTGGAGTGCATTGAGTCAACAATTGTGTTTTTAAACTTCTTGATTTTTCCTTCATTTGGAGTTACAAAAGTCATTCTCTAATCTTGACATTGTAAGTTTGTATTTAAATTCAATTGTTGAAGTTGTTTTTAATTTCAATATTGTAAGATCTTTTTTTCTGTACGTGAGTGGGAGCTGAAATTGTACTATTAATTTATTGTTGCATGAATTGTGAGATTAGTACTCTTATAAACGAATCAGAAATCTCCAAAGAAAATGACTTAGTTATTGCGCCACGAAACATGAAGTTCACTAAATATTGGTTGGATCCAAAAAAAATGAATAAGAACATTTTTTCTTGCAATGATGTTGGATCCTAGTCAAAAAATGGGATATTTAAATTGCCTCCTTGGGGATATATATCCAAAGTTGAAAGGAAAAGCAAAAGAATATGGATGTTGGATTTAAGCTGAATTAAGAAAGTTGTTTGATTTTTACAAGACTAAAATAAAAAATCAAAATGAGAATTGTGGCAATAATAGTACAAATGCCATGTCTTTCTTTTTCTTTTTTTTTATCAAGGGCAATTTTTGGGGGTAGGGGGAATTGAACCCAGTCCTATGGGCTGAGTGATACACACCATCACCAAACGGCCTACAACATCAAGTGTGTCAAATGCCATGTCTAGTTTTGGTGGCGGGTAGGGGCCAATCAAAGTAACCTTAATCACCTTGTTAGATCTAAACCAAGTTGTGGGAACAGTCTTAGTGGTGTTGCAAGCTTAAAGGCAAACAAGAATAGTAGTGTTTCTTCTTGCCAAAGTGAACCAGGAAATAAGAAAGGGATGAAGGATACTGAAAGATTCAAAAAATATTTATCAAAGACAACTCAAGAAAAGAACGAGAAATCAGAGCTTGACATCTACCTTTAAGATAAATTAGAAATCATGGAAGATGACACTCAATTTTATGATGTTCTGTCATATTGGAAGCTTAAGAGTGGGCAATTTCTTATTCTTGCAACAATGGCACAAGATATTTTAGCTATTCCAGTTTCAATAGTGACATTTAAATCAGCTTTCAACATAAGTGGTCTTGTGCTAAATGACTTTAGGCGTTCCTTAACTCGTAAGATGGCACAACCTCTAGTATGCACACAAGATTGGCCTAGGCAAAAAGGAAAACATGTCAATATTACTCTTGATTGTGAGGATTTAGATGAACTAGACGAAGTAGAAGCAGTTAAGTTTAATAATTTTAAAAACAAAATGTCTATTATTTAAATTTTGATTTTAAAAATTTTGTTATTTTGGCTAAATTTTATTATTGGATTTCATCATTTGCAAAATATAAAAAATTACGTCAATCACTTTTAGATGTTTGACATTTACTGCTATACATGTGAAGTTTTGGATTTGTTTTTCAAGTTGCTTGTTGCTGCAAATGCTACTGGCTATTGCTATAAATACTATTGCTACTTATTTTGTTCTAAGCAATTGCAAAAGTTGTATTAGATGTTGAATTAATTACTTGTTTCAGGGACAACAGATTTTTATATATTTCTAGGTTTGTCATGTTTGCATCATATTGATTTAGGTGTTGAGAATAATTGTCTTTGTCTATCATACCAGGTTTTTTACATTTAAAAAGATTCATTAAAGTAATTTCAGTAATGTTATATTATTAGTTTTAATAATTTTAAGAAGTAATTTAATTAAATATAATTGAAACAGTATAAGTCGGTATTATACCATTTCATTAGATCAATTATAGCTGATATACATTGAGTCAATATTTGATTTTTACTTTAAAAATACTAAGTATCAATTCCTGAATAGTATATCAACTAAACATATTCGAGTTCATACTTAATAGAAAATTTAAAAACCAAATATAATTATTACAATATAAAATTGGTCCGATATAATTCAGTAATGTACTGAGAGCAATGCTAGGGGCACTCGCCTCTTGCACTCTCCGGCCAACACTTCCCTTTTCATTGGGCCACGTAAGCTTATTTCAGGCTTTGCAGTGCAACCTTTCACCGAGAGAATACCGTGGCCCAATGAAAGGGGGAGCATTGGCCGGAGAGTGCAGGAGGCGAGTGCCCCTAGCACTCCTCATGTACTGATGGCCGCCCCTGGATAAATGGAATGCCCCAGTAAAACACACCATTTTATTAAAGATTTCCTGACAATTTCTTTTACCAAAGAGTCCTGTTTTCCCCTCTGAACTATCTGTACATAAACTTTGATATTATTTTTCTTACCATAGCTAATAAATGCATCTTCTCAAAAGTAAATGACAAGATTTAAATAAATATTAATTGAATGACAGAAAATAGAAATATAGTTTTTTTTTTTTAAATAGGTAATGAAAAATAGAAATATAGTTAAAGCCTTAGACACAATTTGGTGAGCTTCTTAAACACGACACTTGCGAAATAGGAACTTGTTGTTACGGTTGCTTGGTGGAGTACATAAATGTGACTGTTGAACTCCATTAAGTGGCATGATGATTGTGTGTTTCATTAAGGTTTGTAGTTATTTACTTGATTTGGAAATTGAATTTTCAATTACTAATATTTATATTTACTTGATTTGGAAATTAAATTTTCAATTACTAATATTTAACAATACTAACTTATTAATAATTATCCTTATAAAAAAAAAAAATACATAGATGTGGCTGTCACCGTCTTATTTATTGAGGTCATATGATCTGTCTTTCATTCCGTGGTTGATCTTTTATTATAATAATGCAAATTAGAAAATGACGTGCTGTACATGTGGATGAGAAAAGGCATATGTATACGAATAGTTAGAATTTTTTTTAATAATAAAAAATTTTAAATTAAATTAACTAGTATCTGTTTTCTATAAGAATAAATTTATTATCAATATATATTTTACCTATTATTTAATGAATAACGTGGCCGCCACAAAATTAAATTAAATAGGAAATTGCTATACCACAGCTGGAATTATCGGGACAGAATTTGAAAGATACGATTTCCTAACTAATTAAGGTGTTTTAATTTTCTCCGTTGCCATATTTGAAAGATACTATTTCCTAACTAAATAAGGTGCTTTAATTTTCGCCGTCGACATACATTTTCAATCTCATAAAAAATATATTTTTCAAAATGATATTAAAGGCACAATTTTGTAATTTCATTTCAACTTTCAACATCTTACTGGTGGCTATACTTGCAGCTATCATTAAATTTATTAAGATTATTAAAATTGTTAAATTTTAATTTAATTGTTAAAATAATTAATAATTAATAAAATAAGTGATATTTATAATTTAATAAATTAAAATTAATTTATAAATAAATATTTTTAAATATTATAATTGTTTGAAAAAATTATAAATTAATAAAATTACAATTAAAATTAATAACTTTAATAATAATTTATAATAATAATAATTATTATTTTGATATTCTGTAACTTTTATTAGTTAAAAATTTT